GAATGGCGGGCAAAAAACTGTCAGACAGCTTTAAGTGATTTTAAAGAAAGTCCTAAACAGTATATGTCCAGTTCCAGTAATTTGCACTACTTTTCGGAAAAGCCATAAAATTGTCATGAAGCAGCTGCCTCGACCGAACTGTGGCTGTGCGACGCATAACTGATTTAGGTAAACAAAGATGCGACCTCAGGGCGATAGACGGAAGAAAATATAAAGCTTCTATATAGTCCTTTCCACTTTATTAAAATTATTCCTTTGGATTTTTATGTGGAGTATTTCATTTCTGGTGAACTCATGAGAACTTGAGGTTTATAAATGCACCGCACCGCTTTTAGAGAGACTGCGTCTTTTAAGTTGCCATGTTTCAATGAAATGGGGACTAAGGTGTTCAAATTCAACAATTGCTGCGCGATTTTTTAGTGAAAAGGCCCACGGTCACGGAAAATATCCACTGAAACTATGGAAGTAGGAGTGGAGCAATTTTAAAAGGGGTGTTTTTGTGCATCCTTCGACCCTGAGTGCGTAATTGCGCGCAAAATTTAAAGGGAAGTTGAATAGTTGTTTGACTCTGAAGAGACCAGCTCCTTATCCCCTCTCCTGATTATAAAATACTTTGCCGCTTGAATATGATGCATAAATACAGTAAATGAAAGGTGTAATTGTAATTGGCAATCACATTTTCTAAAAGCCGATTTTAGGTTGGTAATGCAAGTCAGTGAGGGCTACAGTTTATTTGGTCCTTAACTGTCCTAAGTAAAGTTTATTGGTCTAAAGTAGGCTACATTAATATTTTTGGTGAATGAAAGTCTCCATATTAGTGTTGGTGATTGATGTGAGAAAGATTCCCGCTCCATCTACGAGCACTAACTTGGTTCTCAGTTTGGAATAAGCTAATGTAGGTCGCCTACAGAGACATTCTAAATGGTTGTCTAGGATTTTCAAATCATTCTGTCAACTCTGATCGCTTAGTTTGGCATATCTAGAAAATCTCTGGACTAAAAGAATCGTTGGTAATGTTTTTCAGTTGCTTTTCTTATGTTATTTTTAAGAACAAATATTACAAACATCGATCTAAATGTCGGTATAGATTGGAAAATCTTGACCATGAGCGATATCGACTTTAACCAATCAAGTACTTCAATTTGTTTGAATATAGTCCTTTTGAGACATGGCCATATAATAAACAGTTATTTTCACAACATCATAACACAATATTTGGTAAAGGAAAACAACTTAAACAAAAGCTCTATATCACCTGTAAGAAATGTTCTACTTACAGTTCTCGAAGACCATAATTTCTATAAAAAGCTCC